CATGTTGAAAACTTTTGCATTAGAATGGATCTTTTGGAAGTCCAGAATTGCTTACCCAAGCGCTCCCCGTTCCTCGTGAACCAGCTTTTCTTGGCAGCACAGTCGATCCCAGCCCCTAAAACATCACCGCAGGTAAAATAGGTGCTGAGCGCCTCTAAACGCTGATAACCGTGGCGAAATGCGCAAGCTTTGTCACTGTAAGACGGATACTCCCAGGATGGGACACGTTCGCCGTCTCGCCTTGATTCGAGAGATCTTCGCAGTATCGATGTTTGCGAACAGTACCCGATGTCAATTTCTCTGCCTCGCAACATGATTAGCATCTCTGTTTTGACCTGGCACGTCAATCTGAGGAAGTGCTGCTTACCTTTTATGATATTTTTGTCCAAAGAGCTCGTCGATTTTGATTTCAAAATAGAACCGCTGTCCTGGGGGTATGGGATGGTTTCCTCTGACCACTGGATCGGCCTTGGGTCCGTTTTCGCCTTTGCCATCTGTCAATCTTAGTGATGTATGCTCGAGGATAGCCTTGGAGTATTTCATTGGACTTACCTAGGGCCCCAGAAATAGTCACACCATTATTAGCCACAGACAAAAGACCTCTTGCACTGTCTCTGTTCCAAGAACTGGGGAACTGAGGACTCCGGAGGCAATTCGCTTGGTTTGACTTTTGTAAACATTTTGTGTCTGAGTTCTTGAACAGCATTTCGTAGATACGTTCTCTTTCTCTTTGTTTTGCAAGCACCAGCGGAGGCCAGCCGTGTCTGTCGAGGTGATTGGTGAGGTGTGCAAAACGTTTGCAGACCTCGGGAAGATCATGCTCAATGGCGGTGTTCAGGACTTCGATGTCGTTTTCGCCGGGAGGAGTCTTGTTCAAGAACACATGGAGCGCATCGGCCGTACCAGTATCTTTTCGTGCCCAAGTAGCATATGACACAAGAGCGACCTGAAGAGGTATCAAGCCACTAGAGTTTCTGTGAGAGATGTCCGCATTTTTCTCCAGCAGCAATTCCACCATGCTCTTGTTGAGCATGCACGCGGCTGCATGTAGTGCTGTCTCCGCTTGGGAACGCCCCGTCACGTTCACTATCTCGGGTGCTTCCTTAAGAACAAGATTGGCAAGTTCGAGGTTATTCCAAAAAACAGCTTTGATGAGCAGGGTTTGGTTGTCCCATCGTTTAACTTGCAGGCTGGCTCCCTCGTCTAGCAGCAATCGAGTTATGTTCATGAGATCTTTCGCGTCTCGGCCAAGCTTTAAAATTGGCGTTTCACCCCACTTGTTTTTGGCATTGATGTCGACTTCCCCATTCCGGAGGATCTCTTTGCAAATGTCCAAGTCTCCTGATTCGAGAACCGCGTGGAGGGAAGTGTCACCACTCGAATCCTGTATATCTGCGCGTGCGCCCTTACGGAAAAGGAGCCTGACGTGCTCAACAGTTATGGAGTCTTTTCTCAAATACTGACGTTCGCTGAGCATCAAATGAAAAGGGGTCCTGTGCTCATCGCCGCCTTGAACGTTGACATGAGATTGGTCTTCATCGAGAATGAATCTTAGAATCTCAATGTTTCCCAAGCGGCAAGCCCAGTGTAAAGGTGAAAGCCCTAGACTGTCCTTCTGACTGAGAACATCATTCTGCTCGTAATCGAGGGCAAACCCGAAGTGTCGTTTGAAATAACCCAGACTCCCGATCTTTGCCGCAATAGACAGTGGCTGTTCTGGAAAGGGGAGGTAGCCGAGGTTCTGTCGCTGAGCTCGCCAATGTTCAAAGTAGATTCTGTTGCTCTTTTCGTAGACAAATTTGTCGATATCTTCATAAAGGCGTTTCCATTCGTCTCTTTCTCGGTCTTCCCCACTTGCTTCACTTTCGGCGCCGTGAATAAGGAGCCACCAGTATTCAAGCTCGTACCTTCGCGACAGGTTCTTATCGTTCGAATTGAGATACTTTTCTAGGAATCTGGGGTGTGTAAGGGTTTTCATGACACCACGGGCCATAATGAATCGTCCACGTGGGGGGGAAACGTCCCAAGTAGGTGCTTCACCCGCCTGCCCCTGGCCACATTTCCCGCACACCGAAGGATCTTGGACAGGCGTTCGGATCCAGTCGAGAATGGACTTATGCTGCGCTTCGATGACAATTCTATCGTCGTTGTACTTGACGAAGTCCCGGACTTCAGGGTATAAAATCTCCCAGAAATGTCGCGCAGTTTTCCTCTTGTCTTCTTCTGTATCTTCTAGATCCGGTCCTGTGAGAATTTCGTCTTCTTCATGTCGATAGCGCTCGATGATCTCATCGATGACTGGAATGAGTTTGACAGAAGATCCTTCTGCATATGCTAGCCAGCGAAGCATTATTTTGAGGCTTCTTCTTGATGCTGAATTCATTTGGGATAATCGCTGGTCGTAGAGTTCGTTCAATCCCTTGGGAAGTCTTTTAATGGCCACGGCAGGGTTTCCACTCATTGTCACGGGGTCTGATTCAAGGATCCGAAGTGCCATCGCAGCATCTGTAGAGAATTAAAATTTTGCGCAGAGGTAGCTCCGAACTTGACTCACACTGAAATATTCCTTCGGAACGTTCCAGAATTTCTCGATGCGCCCACTCCGGATCTGTCAGACGATATCTGTTGAGGCTTTGAGCCACGTAACTGGCAATGTCTTCTCTTGTCGCGGTTTCGCTGACTTCGATGGTGTAGAAAGGGGGAATAGGTGTGTGTTCCGACATGAAGGCTGCTCTTATGTCGTTTTCATCTCTGCTTGCTATCAGGAGTTGAACATTCGGTTCCTGCCCAATCTTTTGGGTCAGGGCATTGAAAACTCCACTGTTCTGTCGGTCCGTACACTCGTCCAAGCCGTCGAGGACGATGAAAATCTTGCGGTCAAACTCTTTTGCTATCCTTTGAAAGATACGCGCACAAACAGCAAGACCAAGTTCATCAGCCCGTTTCTTGTCCTTTGCTTCTTCTGCAAGAATTTGCATGATATTCGTCTTGGCACGGCGATCTCCAGAATGGATGGGGACTGCGAACTTTTTGTCTAGGCTGCCCAGTGCTCCGAACAGCTGCATGAGCAGGTGGAGCATGATATTTTCACCCTTGGATCTGCGAGAATCATCAATCTTGCAGAAGAAATACGTCAATATGGGCGCTGCGTCGTTTGGAGTTGTTTGTTCCGTCAGATGGGTGATGACCGAGGAGCACAGAAACGTTTTGCCTGATCCTGCTTTTCCAAAGATCCAGATGATCCTGTTACCCGCACCTCTTTTCCACGAAACAAAATCTTCCTCGGCCAGTATCCATTCGCAAGTCCCTGAACTCATGTTTGTTGTTTTCTCTTGTCGTTGATCGTCTGGTTGTGAGGCTCCCAGTGTCGTTCCAGCCTTCAGCCATTCTAGTTTCGCCATGTACTCCTCGTTGATCTTGTCTTCTTCCCTCTCTTCACTCCTCAATTCTTCGGTCTCCTTGTACACGTCCAGAAGGTGCGTTTGTTTCTCGGCCAGTTCCTTGAAAAATGCTTGATTCTGCTTCGTTACCAAGCCAAAATTGCTAGCCAGCTGAGAGATTTTTTCGGTGTTGTCTTTCATTCTCTCTCCGAGTGCTCTGAAAGCATTCTCCTCGAACATGCGGCTCTTCTCTGCATTGAGTTGACGGAGCTCTTCAAGCTGTGCTCTCAGACTTTGCACGATCGCGCTGAGCTCGCTTGTCTTCCAGAATACCGCCTCGACAGAATCCTTGACAACTTTCCACATCAAACCGAGTCGTCCATAGCGGTCGCTTTTGACGGCCCATTTCATGATTCGGGTGGAAAGACAGAGAACTTCGCAATAGACATTGAGAATTCTCCCGCGAACTTTTTCTGTGATGTTTTGGGTTGTGGTCCACTGGCGGCACTGGCTGATGTAAATGCCGCAAAAAAACATTGCGTCCGAAATGGCATCTGCAGCATCGATCATGACTCCGCGAAGCTCTTTGTAGGCCGTGACGAACTTCATGAGCAATCCGAAGACAGTCCAAACGATCTGAATCGTCTGCGGGGCGAAACTCATGGGGGTGCTCGCCATGTCACAAAATATGTTGAATCGCCCAATGATGCTGTCGAATGTCCCATGGTGGTAAGGCTCAACTTGCTTCTTTGCTTCTTGAAGTTCCTGGATTACAGCTTCTGGGGTCTCATCTTGCTTGGAATCAAGCTGCTTCAACTCCTCGCTCTTGACCTTGCTCTTTGCCTCATCCCATAGAATACGACCAACTTCTGAGGGATCCAAAAGGTCTTGCGCGAGATGATCGGGTCCGAGCGGCGACGCTATAGACTCGAATGATCGATCGATTTTCGAAGGCATGATGAATCATGTCCGCACTATAATCGAGGCAGAATCCGACAGGCTCGCGAGGGCGTTGGTGCGAGCGAACATTCAGAAAGGGGACGTGACGAGGCTCTGCGGCCTTAACATTCCTCTGGTGCAACGAGTATTGATTCGCCATCAAAGATCTCGCCCCACAGTCGGTGAAAAACTTGACAGAGCTGGTAAAGACCAATGCCGTTGGGTGCTGCCCCGTGTTGACGTGGTTCGCAAAGACCAACAAGCGTTTTGGCTCCACGCGATCAGCAATGCCGTCAAGGCGTGGCAAACTTGACCAGACCACTCGAAATATCGTTCAACAAACAAGTGCAGAGCAGCCATTTTGGTCGAGAAAATGGTGTCTGTTCTGGCTTGTTGTCACCCACGAGGCGACCAAGACCCTGCCCATCGCGGCGCCGGCCCGTCCCCTCGCAGGCGCTAAACCCAGAATGGCAAGCAGATCTTGCTCCACACCCCTGGCGTCGCCGACGAGAAAATCTTTGCATCCACGCACGCTCGCACGCACGTTCCTTGACAGCGTGTTTGATCTGTGGTGACCGCAATTCGATGATGAGCCTTCCAGAACAAACAGTCAGGATAAGGCTTGCAGAATATAATTCAGGATTGCAGCGCTTTCTCTCACCAAGCAATCAGCTTGCAGCCGCTTCTATGGCTCAGTTGGTAGAGCGCGGCACTAGTAGCTGATCTTCATCAGCGATGCCGAGGTCCTGAGTTCAAATCTCAGTGGAAGCATTCCTTTTTGCCGTTTTGCACGCCGTTTCTGTTGCTCGTTTGTCGTCGATACTCCCTTTTCATGACGGAGCACAAGGCTTGAGGGGCGAGTTGTTCTGTTTTGGCACCATTGCTGACTTGGAAGAGTTGTGTGCCTGATTGAGGGCAGAGGGCTGCGTCCTGGAAGGACGGGCAAAAGGACCTCTAGTCGTTGTGCTACGGGCGGTCGTACTTCGGCCAGGCTGTTTCGGTCAGCAATGGGTGGCGGCAATGGGTTGGCGGGAGGTCCAAGCTGTTGGAGAGACGTGCGAAAAGACCAAAGGGCAGTGATTTAGCAGACCTAGGACAGCAGGAACCTAGAGCACCAATGCTGCCTACGAAATCGAAAAGACTCAAAATCAAAATGTTTTGACAGTCGAATGGCGGCGGATAAGGATGCTCTTGAGGGCTTGAAATGTAAAGACTGGTTGATGATTGAACAAACCAGATTCTGAAAGTCGAACACAGCAGGGACAACCAGACGTTGAATCTTTCTAGCCAATGGTATTCATGCCATATGAATTTGCAGGGAATAGGAAATCTCTATACGGCCACCAACAGTCCTTCGACTCAAGACTCGCCAATCAAGCTGGCCACATTCCTGAAAGTCGCCTTGACGAAGCTTCCCTCATAATAGACGTGCTTCGCCGAGTGCTCCGCACTCAAGTTGTGCGCAATCTCGTGGCAAAACACCTCCCACCAATACAACGTAGCATCAGCCGCGCCACCTCCTCCAACGTTCCGAGCGTGCAGGTTGAAGAAGTAGAAATAGTTGAAGAATAGCGAGCCGCCTTTATTGAACGCAATGGTGCTGCTGGCGTCTTCGTAGAAAATGTTGATGACGCTGTTGCTCAGACGGAAGAGTCCTCCGATGCGCTCCAGCAGGTTGGCGAACGTTCCGATGCCAGACTTGAACGCTTCATCTGCGATGGGAATGGGGTCGTGCGGACGGTTGGTCAAGAAGACGGTGATGCCGTTCGCTGTAACGTTCCATCTGCTGAGGTCCGTGCTTGTACTGCTGTCACAGTAAGAGCCCTTTGCTTCTTCGATTTCCTTGGTTTTGGCCGATGATTGGACACTATCAGAGTTGTGGGCACGGCATTTTTCAATTGCTGCAGAGAGGTTGGATTGAATGTCGGAAGAAAGGCTGTTGGGGTTCTGGCGACGACGTTCGGGACGAGAATCGGTATTGTTGCCCTGGCTACTCGGCTGGCCACCGGCTGCCGTGGTTCGGTTAAAAGCGTCTCGTATGGTCTTGGACCATCCTGATGGAAGATTTGATAAGAGCTTGTCTGCTGGCCCTGAAGCTGTTGAGTCATTACTCCGCCTGCGAGGATTGGTGATTTCATTTTCGTGCTTCTCACGCTCGGGACTTGGAGTTTCGAATCCTCCTGGCATCTTGTTCTGCTCAGGTGTAGCCGGACGAGGATTTGGTGGAGGCTGATTGGCTGCCGCCTCGATCTGTGGGGGCTGCCGAGCGACGGGCGGAGATGCAGGGGGTTCAGCGACTGGCGCTTGTGCGAGACGTTGCTTTTCTTCCTCAGCAAGCCGAGCATCCATCAAAGCCTTTTGCTTCTCTTTCCGGGCGAGAATGCGCTGGACATCGTACCCTTTGTCGCGCAGCCTCCGCAGACTATTGCTGAGGATGGTTTCGAGAATCAATACCTCATGCTTTGGATTTTGACGGACCAAGAGCAGGGGGACCAGCTCCCGACTGACTTCGTAAAAGTCATATTGAGGCATCACATATAAAGTCGTGACCGAACCGAACCGAGACTTTGGACGGAGCAGACCAGCAGTCGTCTTCAACGACACAGGGCGATGTCCTGGAAGTTGTAGCTTGTGAGTGAGGTGCGAGACCACCTTGACTTCCAAGTTGCGCTCAAGCCAACGAGCGTCGTGGTGAATTTGGTTCTTGTCGTACTGTGTCAAGAAAATGGGGACGCGTTCGACAATCATCTTCTGCAGCGCCGCTGCTTGTTGATCGCCACCGTGGACTGGATTCCCGGCAATCTTCTCGACCTGTACGCGGACGCTTAGCTTTTCAGCCCCGAGCCGCATGTAAAATTGCTCTATGACATCGTCCTCTGGCGCAATCAGAATCGAGCCTCTGAAGACGGCGTAGTACTGGACGTTGTCGCGAATGGCAATTTGGGATGCTGCAGCGCTGACCATGACCTGTTGGGCTGCGGATTCGTCATCGTCGTCGCTGTCGTCTCCGAGAAGATCCTTCTCCTTTTCCTCGGGTGCCTTGGCCCCATGTACCTCATCCTTTAGCGCCAGAAGTACAGGTTTCGACCTGAAAGCATTCCAAACGACCTTGTCAGACCTGAGCTCCTTTTCGTCAACAGCAAATTGCCTCAGGAGGTCCAAGTATTTTGATGCTTGAAGCTCCTGTAAAACCCTGGAGGGATTCTCAATCACCATGCGGGCAAGCTCCAAAATACTCGGATGATCCTTGGCTCCGACAGTTCGAAGGAACGCATTCGAAATGCTTCCAAAGTCCACAAAGTTCAATATGTTCCCAAATTCCTTGCTCTTGCCTACGAAGCACGACTGAGGTGCAATGTAACGAACTTTCTTCGCGCCAGGACTCTCCATAGGCACAATGGGAGCGCTGCCGAGCTCCTGCGCAACGAGACGTGAGCTCTGGATGTCGGCAACCCTTCCAGCCATGTATCCGAAAAATACTGCAGCTTCTATTTGATTCCCTGGTGGAGTGTTGATGATGTAATTCGCACAAACTTCGACGGGTGGATCACGGCGAACGCCTAGTAGACTGGAAAATGGCTGAAGATCTCTTCGGAGAATGTTGTAACCGAAAATAGAGGCCTGGTTGTTGGTCACACAGTCGATAGACCGAACAAGAAACGGAAAGGGCTTGCTCTCCACGGGCAAGATCCTCTTCTCGGCCAGGACCTCAATAGTCGAGCTCGGCCATTGTTGACGATTGGCCACAAAGTGCTTGAGGATAGTTTCATAGTGAGCAGCGTCCTTTTCCTTCACAGATTGAGTCATCATCTCGACGAGTTCAATCCAAGTGGGCAATCCACGCATGCCCAGATCCTTGAGAAATCTTGCCTTTGGGTCAAAAGAGCGATATTCCACGTTGGATTTCCATTTGATTACGGGCAATCCCAATTCTTTATTCTCCTTGACAGGCTCATGGAGCTTCTGGAGCTGATAAAGTTTGGAGGCATCGCCCCGGAAGCCAGGATAGTCCTCGACAGGCCAGATTTGCTTCTCAGCCAGGGTTGCGCGGTCCTTTTGGGGAATTGAATCGCGCACTTGGGTCAAATATTCTATCAAATCCATATGGCTCCATCTCGGCTTGGAATCTGAGGACGATGTATTTGGTCCTGCCAATAGGCGAGTGAAGACATAATCGAGATCAATGGTTTGGCGAAGACCCAGAGCTTCGAGGAATCTTGGTTTGAGGCCAGGGACAATCAAGTTGGGAAGATCCTCGAAAAGCTTGACATTTGGGTGATAGGTTTGCTGAGGCTTTTGCATGCCGTTCTTCGTCGGCATGACGGCATGTGGTTGGAGCATCGCAATTACCTCGTTCCTCTGGTTGGTCCTCATCTGATCCCACTGCTTTGAGATGACTTTGAGAACCTGGGTGGCGAATTCAGAGTCTTTGGTGATCGATTTAGGACCCGTCCGTTGGTTGAAGTCAAGAAGGAAACGAACCCACTCCTCGACAGGGAGTTCGTTCCATCCAAAGCCTTCCAATTCTGCACGGCTGAAATCTTTAGTGTACCGAAGAGGCATTACCGTAATCGGATACGGGAGCTCAGGTGGATACTTCGAGGGGACGAGATAGTAGCTGATGCTTCCGAGTGCAATTATTGACTGTTCGGTGGACAAAACTGCGGCATTGAACAATTTTTTCAGGTCGCTCGCATCGATGACTTCCGAGTTGGACATGCGCGCCGTGAATTTGAGGAATTCCCGCATCTCTTCTTCGTCCAGAGGCTTGTTCTCCAATCTCTGGACAATATCTTCAACCGTGAGATACTGGATGATGCGGCGATTGGCGAGCTTTTCGATGAATGCCCAGCTCTGTTCTATCAGCTCCTCTGGAATCATTGCGAGGTCGCGCAAAAAGTTGAGCTTCATGACGGACACGCGCACTTCCTGGCAAGGAAGGACCCCGAGCGTGGACATAATTTCTGCCCTGTTTGACGCTTTCCAGAATCCTTCTTCGACACACTTGCCGACAAGGGCAGAGGGCGTTGCTTCTTTCGCAGTCCATTGCGCTAGGACGTGGACAGTATCTGGGATTGTTTTGGTAACATGGGCGTCGGTGGGCCTTTTGACGCCCTCGGCTTTCAGCACCTCGTCCATTTTCTCCTTGACTGTACTCATCCCTTTATCAAACGCCATGCGGCATGCAATGCCCGCGATTTCCAGCATGCTCTCATTCCAGATCGACACATGTCTGTTTGAGAGGTCGATACTTTCGCGCTCGACAGTGGGTATTAGCGATGGGGCAAAGATATGACACTGATAGCCGGTGGTTTGTCCAGTTGGAAAGCCGATGAAAACGCGCCCGTGTTTCATGGGTAACGCAGACGCGAACAAGTCTGCTGCACGGTCGACGGTAAGTCCTTCGGCATTGGACAGTAAATGTTCCAAGTGGGTGTGGGGAGTAGTGAGGATCGACAGCGAAGTCTGCTGCGGTGGAGGCTTCTTGGTGGCACGAAGGAGCTCCCGGGAGAGAGTTGGTGGAACCTTTGTTGCGATGTTGACGGAGTTGATGTTGAGGGAGATCGTCGCCTGCGACCGCCCGGCCACGTCTTCAGCAATCGCACGTTGCTTTGCGGCCGCAATCTCTCTTGCAGCCCGTTGTTCCTGTTCCCTCTTGCTAGCTGTACCAATATTGAACTTGGCGAAGAAGCCTTTGATCGAAGGAATGCTGGGTGGCGGTTCTTGCACAGCAGTCTCTTGAGTTGGCTCGCTCTTATCCCATGCAACGG